ACTGAACAACTCACCTGCGGCATATATTGTATTTTCGTTTCTCATGTAAACATTAAGTATATTACCCTGCAGAATCCATGTGTCTTCCAGTTTCTATATTTTCCTGACTGATACAATGCTTGTATGAACACATCTTTGATTGTTTCAGCTGATGAATAAAATCATGCTTCATAGTTTAAGGTATTGATTCTCATCTAGATATAAACCTTGTTATTTGTTATCATCTTGACACAATTCATGAGTCGATCAGTACCATCGTACTTAATATACTTATCAGTAGGTTGCAACAGATTGTAAGGCTTAATGAATTAACATCATGAATCGTTTATTTTATTTTTCTATCACTCACTCATTTTTTTCTGGCTTTTTTTACAGAGAAGCTTCTAAAGGCACTCGTTATGAAATGTTTACACGCTATATGCTTCATTCAAATATTCCTAATATGTATCTGTTTTCTGAACCTACTCCTGAAAAATGTCGTTATGCAATAAACATAACCAAAAAAGTTCATTTTCTTCTTTTGCTTGGTAGGTAAAAGGAAGTTTTGTTATTTAACTAATTAAATGTTATACTACAGTCAACTAGTAATAGATACTTACCTGTTGAGAGCCTCCATTTTTGTGATAATTGAAACCATGATAATGCCAACTAATGCCACTGTCGTTCTGAGTCTTACATAATCTCTATTCGTCTGTATTCTGGTGTCATATACCCTAAGCTTTGCGTAAATACTCATCTTCTGACTTCAATTTTCTAAAAGATAATATCATTAATCATTTTATAAATCAATACTAAGAAAGTAAGTAATATAAGATAATAGTAGTCAAGTATTTATGAAAACATATTCGAGGTAGTTATCGTTGCTAACGCACTTAATTTTTTCCGTCTCAGGTGATTAGACAAAAATACTATGGAGCAATTCTTCATATCCAAAATTCATTTTTGTTTCTGAATTCTATATTTCCCGAGCGATCATGATTATTTAATTATCCTATTAATTGCTAATATAACATAAGTGTCCTATATTTTTTAGTACTACTCTATCCCTTTTTAAAGAAACCAAGGAATGTCATCTGTAGAAGTTGGTTAGGTTTTATATTTACAAGATGTTTTTAAGTCGTTGTATATGATTTGCCAGTTTTATAACTGCCACTACTGTTGTAATGAACGAAGACTCGGGTGAGCAAAACAATTTGTTTTTATTGTGCCAAATCACATATTATTTCTAAAATATGAAAACAATACATTAAATACACGATTTAGCCATCTTCCCTCAGTTGTTCCTTGCAAACTCCATCATCCTTTTATCCGTATTTTTATTCTAATTGCTTTCCGTTTTCCTTTCTCTTCGTTTTCCTTCTCTATCTGCAAGAATTCTACTTTCAATTCCTGATACACACTATTTATACCTGTCCGTACAAGAAGTACACACCACATTGTGATTAGCTACACACAAATTTAATTTGTACTTCTCGATATGAATTCTGTAGTATTTGTTTTACAAAAACAGTAATAATACTACCTTTTATATACTACAATTCGGAGTGATCAGTATTTTAAAAGTTAAGTTTATTTGTTTCAATTTACCTTTTTTCCTGAAGTAGTCTGAAGGTTAATAAACTAACCATATTGTTTGTTTCATTTAGAGTTACTTTGTTCACTAAAACTAATATGAGTTGTTTGATAGTCAATCTATTCAGCATACAAAATATCCATAATACTAAAGAGATATTCATTTGATTAGTGTTTGTTTGGACACAATTTTTCTCAATAGTTCAAAGATGTAGTGATCTAACTTACCACTTTGAGATGTGTTACGGTTGGAAAACACTGACGGTCATATTGTAACCATTTATTGTACTTGAAAAGCTATCAGAATTAATTCAAATGTGGTTAAGGTCAGCTTCTTATACATCTATTTATAACCACATGGTCCATCTTTTGGATTCCTTATCGTTGTAATATTTCAATTTTAAACAAAATTATAAAAATCTAAATCACTTCAACATCTTTATTTTTTGTATACATTTTAGGCGGTATTGTTGATTATAGGATCATGACTGTACAGCAACTGAATGAGTTTGCTGCATTGTCATCTCAAGGCTTAGATGATGCACGTAGTCATTTGGTTATGTTATTAGAGCAAAATCGAGGAGGGCAAATTGTGCAAGACTTAAACTATCATCAATCTTTCATTGTCAATGGACTAAAAAATTTGTATGACGAAACAAAAAATAGTAACGAGTCGTCTTCGTCTGATTCATGAGTCATAACTATTTCAAACTTTCAGTTACCCTTTTTGTAAATATTTCGAGTGGATATTGTTAATTATTGTAAATATAAACATTATTATATGCATCAGTCACTTTTAATTCATATAATCTTATTTGCTTAAAACTTTGATACTTTTCGTTATCTTGAATAATTTATTAAAGCTGTGGTTTATTCGTTCAATCTCTCAAATTTCAATCAACAACTGAACACTTAATCACTACGACCTATAACTGTTTCGATAGGTCGATAGTATTGGTGGCCCTAACACAAATCACCTGGCTCTTTACATAATACAGTAACCTGTTATTACGTGGCTTAGTGTTCTAAGCATTTGGTTTCCAACTATCCGATTTCATGTTCGAAATCTGCTCTTACTACTCTTATTCGTCTAGTACTTGAAAATGTACTCAATCACGGCATTACATTACTTGAGTACGTAGTTACACTTGTACTTTGGATTTCTAAGTGAATGGATGCCTAATGATGAGCTTGTATGCACAGCATAGATGGGAATACACCTATTTTTTAAAATCTTGTTTAAATTTCACTTTTTATTATTGAGTAATACATTTATAATTTATGACTTATTTTAGAGCTAATTTCATTATTATCACTTAATCTGTTAATTGATAACTAGTGGTGGAATACTAAACTCAAGTTTCATCCTGTATTAGGCACTAGTAGATCGTATGTACCTAGATTTCATTGGTGATGTAGTTATTAGTGTAATACTTATAACTCCATGTGACACGGATTTATGTTTCTAGCCTTTCAAGTACAGTTGGACTTTAGTAACGTATCGATGAACTTAATTCAAATATTGCTAATGTGACTCGTAACAAGAATAAAGTATCCAATTCATTTCGATTTATTAATCAGACAAGTCAAGTAATTTTAGTGTTAGATTTTATAATTACTTGATTCTATTCACAACATTCTGATTTAGCTTTCGAATCAAGATTTTATTTTTAAGAATTCCATTTCAATTTAGCTACCAAGTATGTTAATTATTTGTCATTCCAACCGCACGGTCTAGTTTTCATATTTTAATTCAAGCATATCAAAACAAAATGAAAGGTTACATAGTTCTTGTCCACAAAGTCTACATCTATTTCTGTCTGACCAACTGAGTATTTGTCTTAGTATGTACGTAAAGGCTATAGCTCACCATTGAGTGTTCAAAGAACTAGAAGCAAAGGTTCCGCCCAAATTCTCACTTCGGTTTGGGCCCTCTCATAAATCAAATGAGATTAGTGTGGCGCATATGTATTTGGTACTTCCTTGTACCAATATCTATGTGTTCAAACAACAAACAAATCGCTTAATATTAAGGCTTGTCTCTAATTTTGAAGCAATTGAACTATCAAGTAGGATTCGAATCCGTATCGTTCACTGCCTAACAAAAGGTGATATTACCTTCGACTGATCATAAATTTCACAAAACCTCAATTCATTGTCTTGTCGATAAATAGATACCAGGTCACTTATCCTAGTCGGTATATTGCAACATGAGAGATAGAATACAGTCAGCACTAGGGATCAGTTCATGCAAATATGTGTTATATATCTTGTTTGTAAAAATAATCGCTATTCATATGTTTCTGTCAGTTGCACTTTGATTTAATTCTAGTTGGATATTCATTTATATTTACCTAGTTAATATCTTCCAGTTACAATGAAAAGTGAAGTTGTATGATAACTTAAAAAAATTCTAACCAGCAGGATTTGTTACATTTTAAATATTTCGTTTTTTCTTTGTTGAAAAGACTTGTCTGTACACTTTAACGATGGGTTTTTAAATAAAATAATGGTGTAATCGATTCAGATCTTCGTGTTGGATTGTAAAAAGTTTTATTAAAATTATTCTTTATATTTTGAAAATTTGATATGTATATATATCCCTAATGTAAGAGATGTCTGATTGTGGGATACCTTAACAAGCAGATCATGACGGACTATATTTTCCGAGTTAGTGAAGGTTAACACAATTTCAACTTAAACGTTTGTTCGAATCAATCATTTGTATGCATGGGTACTTGCTGATTATGGCAGTTCCCATTATGTATAATCCACAGTATTTTATGTTTCATATAAACTTTTCGTGTCGTATTCTGCATTGCTGTCGTCGGATTTAACACTCATCATCCACTTTTACTGTAAGCACCAAGATTTCTGAATAAGTTTTAGTTGCATTCATAAGTGATAAAAGAATTAGTGCTTTAGTTTAGTGACTTAATCTTGTTATCTTATTGGAATAAATGCAATCCGTTTCCAGTCTTAACAGTACGTCGTCAGTTTACTTCAAGGTCATTGTTTTAGAAACTCCAATGATTTAAAGATTGATATATAGTGAAAAATTACACCCACTAATTGTCCTACATTAATTATTTTGCTTATATTCTGAAGAACTAATCTGTGTGTTTTAGCAAGCCTCCCGTATTTCACCTTCCAGCTACTATTGATGAGAAGTAGACACTTAACTAGATTGTTTCAAAATGATATACTTTTTTTTAAATGCATAACTTTTTGATAAGCAGTTTTTTTCATTTTACTATTTGAATGGCTATATGCAATTCTTTAAAAATTAACAAAAAATTAGATCTACATGTGTAAAATATTTGATTATTCATTGTTTCTTATAATTGTTAGTACTTTAATTCCCTTACTCTAGTAAAGCAACCTTTCAAATATAGAAAAAAGAAATATCGAAAATAAATTATATTTTCATGAATCTACCGAGATGTATACCCCACTTGATTATATCGTATAAACAAAAATGTAAAACTGTTTGTCATTTAATGACCACTACTTCCCTATTATTAATATCACCTTCACCGTTATCAACGAAGTCTGATGAAATAAACAAACCAAATGGTTATAAAATACTAATGAAATCATCATCAGTTCGATTACGATTAGATAATTTACCAACACGTGTACAACAATATTTTAATTTTACTCCTTCTGATAAACCATCTGAATTTATTACTGTATTGTCAAGTGATATACAAAAAGTGATTAGAAAAACTCATTGTTCAGTCAACTTTGTAAGTTTTGGAATTTATTTATTTGCTTTATATGTCTTATTAAGATTTTTTCTTGTCCTCTTTTTATAACACGGGAACAATTAATATCATGCTTTATGAACCTCAACTCCGCTTGTAGATCTACTGCCGGTCCCAAGCCCGGGTAAATGGGAAGGGTTGGGTGTGTGGCCGTCGACCCCGATCTCGTACAACACAACCTTGCTAAAAAGCACTAACCAAAATAAATAATTTATACCAATTAAACTCTACCCTCCGAGTTCAAAGAAGATTTATGACGCCTCATGATGGAAGTCAATATTCTTCCGAAGTCACGAGGTCGATGCCCCTTCTAACAATCAGAGTAACAGCTTATATCGGTACATGGAATGTTCGGACAATATGGGAGACCGGGACGATCAATCAAATAGTTACGGAAACGAGGGGATACAACTTGGTGGTGCTCGGAATCAGCGAAACCCATTGGGTCCAAACTGGGCAGCAAAGTATAGATTCGGGAAAGATGCTGCTGTACTCTGATCACGAAGTAGAAAATGCTGCGCACACTTGAGCATTCGACGCTAGAACACTCCCAAGTCTCACACAGGCCACTTGTTGAGTAGAAAGTGGCGATCAACCTTCAACGCATTGTCCTTCTCATTAGCTTCTTTCATGGCTTCGAATGTGACCGGAAGTCTGGAAACTGCGTCTGCCAGTACTGTGTGAACCTCAGCTTCAACATCTATGGAAGCTTCAAGCACCTCTTCTTCTTGTTTTGCATGGGAACTAATTAATCTTGAGAGGGCATCTGACTGTCCGAAATCCGTTATCGGTTGATACTTTATCTTGAAATCATAGTCAAGCAGTGTAGTTGCCCATCTCTGTAGACGGTTTTTGTATATACAGGGAGACCTTTCTTGGATCCAAAACTGTCAGTAGCCGTTTATGGTCTGTTAGTAAGGTGAACGGTCTACCAAACAGCATCTTGTGGAACTTTTTACAGCGAATATAATGGAGAGGGCTTCTTTCTTTATCTGACTGTAGTTCCTTTCTGCAATAGTCAGCAACCGTGCAGCGTGGACGATAGCCTTCATAGAACTGTCAGGCTAGGTTTATGAAATTACTGCTCTGATTCCGTACTTTGACGCATCTGCTGCGACCAGAATTGGAAGATCTGGATCACAGTGTGTAAGCAGAAGGTTTGATGATAGGAGCTGTTTTAGTTTTAGGAATGCTTCTTGGCATTCTGTTGACCAGAACCATTTGATATCCATTTTCAGCAATGATAATTTCGCTTTTATTGAAAACTACAAATACCTGACAGTTTTGTACCATAATTGACACTATTTGGAATAACATTACTTTCAATTGTCTTCTTTACGACTTAGGAGTGTTCTAGCGTCGAATGCTCAAGTTATACGCGGCATATTCAGAATATAAGCTCTAGATATAACACATACACAAAGCTACATGTATCTCATTGGATCACATCACAGAGAATCGGACCAATCGTATCTGCATCAGGGAAAAATTGAGGTCATTGGAAGACGTGAGAACCAGAAGAGGAGCTGGCATAGCTCCAGATCACCACCAACTGGTGGTTGCCCAGATGAAACTAATGCTAAAGAAGCATTGGACAACTGAAGAAACAGTATTACAAAAATCCAATGCAACCTTCCTTCGAGATACTGACAAACTCAACGAATTCAAGGCAGCTCTCAACAACAGGTTCCACGCCCTACAAGATCTACCCAGAGAAGAAGAGGCTACTATGGAGGACAACTGGGAAGGGATCAAAGAAGCATTAACTCCAACATATAAAGTTCTGGGCCTCAAGAAGCGTCATATTAAGGAATGGATCTCTATGGAAACCCTGGACAAGATTCAAGAAAAGAAGAACAAGAGGACAGTAATTAACAACAGTCAAACAAGAACAGAGACATTGAAGACACAAGTTGGATACACTGAAGCAAACAAGCAAATGAATAAGACTATTATAGCTGACAAGTAGAAATACGTGGAGGAGCTAGCAACAACCGCTGAAAAAGCTGTAAGAGGAGGAAATATGAAACAGCTTTATGATACGACGAAGGAACTAGCATGGAAATATAGCACTAACTTTGAATTCTGAAGGAAAACGGTAAAGAGGAAGGCCAAAGAAGACACTGCGCCATGAATTTGAAAGCAGACATCAAAAGAACGAATAGCAAGTGGCAACAACTGGAAAGGATTGCCTAGGACAGGGTGGGATGGAGAATGCTGTTGGGTGGCCTATGCTCCTTTGCGACGGTTAAGAGGCGTAAGTAGGTAATGGGTATCTGAACCTCAGTTTGAACTGAATTTACCCCCTGAATGCCCTGGTACGGCCGAGAGTGGGGAGAGTCCGCTCTCCATCTCGAAATACTCTCACACGGCCACGCGTATACAGCCTCTGACAGGGAAGTCCTACTCACTGCCTTCTCGTGGCATTACTGTTGTTTACGAAAATGAGAGGACGAAATGCGAATGTCCGGCGCTTTAACCGGATCCCAAACCAATGGTGCACATGGGCTGCAGTATCCTGGGGGAACAAATGGCGTATGAACCAATCGTTGGTCACCGGCTACCATGGGACTGCATCTCCTCACGATGCTCCACTGCCTTGTGAATTAGACCTTTAGGTCAAAGGCTTGGGCTGTGGCCCCCTAAGATAACCACTTGCTTCGGTTTGGGCACCCGGGCAGTATCACAGCCCACACACAAATGATGAACTCTTTATGTCTATGGAAATTATTTTTCTCGCTTCGAAAAACAATCAATTGATTCAAATTATTATCATTACAATTATTGTCATTATTAATACTATTATTATTATTACCATTATTGTCATTATTATTATTATTATTATTATTATTATTATTATTATTATTATTATTATTATTTTCCACATTACTCACCCTCTTTTATACCTATACAGCGGCTCGTCTTTGGTGGAAATTCGACTGTATCTAAACGTTCTCGAGTCACTGTCCTGTTGAAAATTGTAAGTTACCACCGAATACGAGAACTGAAGCAGTTTTTCTGAAACCACGTGCACCATTCAAACTGGCTGCCTTCAACGTTCGCACATTTATGCAGGTCGGACAACAGATAGGGCTGGCTATGTCTTTGGAAAGTCTTAATATTGATGTTTGTTGTCTATCCGAGACCCGTATTCAAGACTCTGGCGAAGTACTACAAATTCGATCTCCATCTGTCGCTTCAAAAAGCTTGTTTTACGTGCGCTTATCCGGTGACCCTGTGGCATCTTCGTCTGGTCTTGCTGGCGTTGGTGTCGCGCTAAGCGCTAGAGCTGAGGCAGCACTAATCGACTGGATCCCCATTAACAGTCGGTTATGTACTGTTAGGTTAGAGAGTTCCATCAAAGTGAGAAGAAATCGGCGTGAGAAACGATGTCTTTTCGTCATCTCCGCCTATGCCCCGACAGATTGCAGCCCGGATGCAATCAAGGATGAGTTTTACCACCAGTTATCAGTTCTTCTCCAGAAAGTGCGTTCGACAGATATTGTAGTACTAGCCGAAGACTTGAATGCTCAGGTCGGGCGTCTAGGCACAGAAGTGAGTCGTTTAGGTGGCTGATGGGGACTCGTTGGTCGCAGGTCAGATAACGGGGACCGTCTACTGCAACTTTGCACAGACCACAACCTGTTTCTGGCTAGCACTAACTTTCGGCACAGTCATCGCCGATGTGCCACCTGGCGTCCTCCCTCTGCATCTCAAGCCTGGACTCAGATTGATCACATCGCGATCAGCTACCGCTGGCGTGGTTGTGTACAAGACTGCCACTACTTTTGGAGTACCTATCTGGACTCTGACCATGCCTTGGTCTGCGCCAATCTTGCCTTACTTTTCAGTGGACAACGAAGTGACCACCACCAAAAGATTGATGTTAGCAAGCTGGTTGCAACTTCTGTTGCAAATAAGTATCGAACCGAGCTAGCCTCTAGGCTAGCTACCACTCCACCGAAAAGTATAGATGAGCATTGGTTGCGATTGCATGACGCCATGAAAATGGCGGGAACAGTCAGTTGTGGGTTTGCGAAACGTCCCGCTTTTAAGCACTGGGTTTCTTCTGGTTCCCTACAACTCATTGAAGCCCGTCGGTCTACTCCGGGTGACCGTGAGTTTGACCATAAACGAAGGATGTTACGTACTGAAATTGGGTAAAGCTTGCGTAAGGACCGAGAAGCCTGGTGGTCGAAGCGTGCTAATGAGCTGGAAGCAGCAGCTGCATCTGGTAACTACCGGAAGCTCTTCCAGCTCATCCGAGCCACTGGCAGCAAGAAGTCTGGTGTGAGTGAAACAATCTGCGAGGATGATGGGATGCCAATCACTAACATCCATCGACGTCTTGGACGGTGGGCAGAATTTTTTGAAGGGCAGTTCAACTGGCCTGCTGCTCCGGCAACATCGGTCAGACTGTCCTGCCCCCCATGGCCGGTGACGACTGATCCACCAAATCAGGAGGAAGTCCGCAAGGAACTCCAACTCTTGAAGCGTTACAAATCACCTGGCCCAGATGACTTACCTCCGGCTCTTTTTAAAGATGGTGGTGACTTTTTAACTAAGGAATTGACGACGTTGTTTACAAAGGTTTGGGAACTAGAGAGTGTACCAACGTCATGGAATGAGTCGATAGTTGTCCCTATCTTTGAAAAGGGTTCACGTCGTTCCTGTAACAACTATCGGGATATAAGTCTACTTCCGATTGCGTCCAAGCTATTGGCTTCCATCATACTTCGTAGGTTGTTCAAAACCCGAGAAAGATTGACTCGCGAGGAGCAGGCTGGGTTTCGTTCTGGTCGAGGATGTATTGATCATATCTTCACCCTCCGCCAAATGTTAGAACACCGCCATACTTTTCAAAGGCCAACAATCGTAGTGTTTCTTGACATCAGGGCTGCCTTCGATTCGTTGGATAGGACTGTTCTCTGGGATTGTCTATTGAAGAAGGGTGTGCCTGAGAAGTTTATTAACATCCTAAAAGCCCTATATAAAAACACCTCAGGCAGAGTAAGGGCATACAACCACCTCTCTCCATTGTTCCATTCGAGCAGTGCGGTTAGGCAGGGTTGCCCAATCTCACCATTCCTCTTCAACTTTGACATCGATGACGTTCTGGAAACAGCTCTGATGAATGTAAGTAATGGTGGTGTGGATCTGTTGCCTGGAGAAAGACTTCTTGACCTTGAGTATGCGGACGATATTGTCTTACTGTGCGATAATGCCCAAGGCATGCAATCCGCACTTAATCAGTTGGCAATCAGTGTCCGTAGGTATGGTATGTGTTTTGCACCTTCGAAGTGCAAAGTACTTCTACAAGACTGGCAGGATTCTAATCCTGTACTCACCCTGGATGGTGAGCAGATAGACGTAATCGAGAAGTTCGTGTATCTGGGTAGCTGCATAAGTGCTGATGGGGATGTGAGTGATGAGATCAATGCACGAATAGTGAAAGCCAGAGCGGCTTATGCCAATCTGGGCCACCTTTGGCGCCTTCGTGATGTTAGTCTGGCTGTAAGAGGTCGGATCTACAACGCGTCGGTGAGAGCAGTTTTGCTCTATGCTTGTGAAACCTGGTCTCTCAGAGGTGAGGACGTTAGACGACTCTCTGTGTTCGATCATCGTTGTCTCCGGAGGATTGCTGACATTCAGTGGCAACACCATGTCAGTGATGCAGAGGTTCGGCATCGTGTGTTCGGGCACAGAGATGATAATTCAATTGGTGTCATCATCTTGAAACATCGACTTCGATGGCTTGGAAATGTGATACGAATGTCCTCCCAGATAATTCCACGGCGTGCATAATTTGCCGACTCTGGGACTGGTTGGAAGAAGCGGAGAGGTGGTCAGTGCATGACATGGTGTCGTGGTATGAAAGAAAGCTGCAAAGGACTGGCTTCTGTTGGTCCTTCACGACTCCCTGGTTGGGGTCTGAGAGATGGTGCTACACAGTGGCTAGAGACGTTATCAGATATGGCTCAGAATAGAAGCCAGTGGCGATCCTGCTGTAACCTTCTTTTACTTTCTTCATAAAAAGTGGTTGTGTCTCCTTTACCTGAAAGGTTTCTTCTGATTGTACCTCTTTACTACCACACTACCTTACACCAATCTCTTCGTTATTGTTCTCTTTTTCTTTTGCGCTCCTTAGGTGTTTTTTCTATTTCTCTTCGAATTCTCATTGTTTTGTGTGGCGCATATATATTGGCGCTCTCTTGTACCAATATTCATGTGTTCAAATAAATAAAATAAATAATAAGCGACTAAATATAGTATGGATGATTAACTTAAACTAATTCAGTGGACAACCCAATAAGAACCGGTTCATGTACTCGTCTATTGGTACTATATTAAGTTGAAAGCAATTAGAACCCCATGCGAAAATTTTCCATTTTCTATATTTTATAATACAATCGACACAAAGTTCCTGATTTTATGGTGTTTACTAGAATTATGGAAAGGTAATTTGATATTTAAGCTCATTTCATTGAAAATCTGTCATCTATGCACACCCTGTTCTTGTACAACTATGTCTTCTTAAACAGTGTGGGATAGGGTAAAGCGTGAATATCTTTGAAGTATTAAACTTACAGTTTCTAAACAAGGAAATGAAGGCGTAAAAAGAAATACTTGGAGATTCCAAACCCGTCTTAGTTTCAGAAACGATTCAATCCCACGGAGGACTGATCAGTTTTACGCACTCGTGAGAAACTCTATCAGTTCATAGCCTTAAACACTTATTGAATTGGAGCTCCATGTAGCTTTAGAAAACCTCAGTAAAATTTACTTTAGTCCAGTATTATCACAAGAATAAACTATAGTCGAACTTCATTATGCTGAATGTCTTTCAGATAACAGTCGGACTTAACCTTAAGAAAATTCCAATAAACTTACATCAGATGTTTTTATTTGTGATAGATGAATTGAAACGCATACAACCATATTCAAAGTTTCATTAAATAATTTCATACTTTTTTTTACATATTTATAGATTAGTGATGATTTACAACCTCCGTTACTTCAACTGATTTCCAAAGATGATACATCAAATGTCAACAAATCATTACGTAAATATGGGATTAATTTGCAGGGGAAAACTCGAGTAAAAGTGATTGAATTTAGTTCTAATATAGACGATAATATGTTTAGAGTCCGGGTGAAACAGGCAGAAGATTTTTTACAAGCAGATCATTTTGTAGTTATAATTATTAAATTGAAACATCTTAAAAAATTATTGTCGAAAAAAAATATACAGTCTACGACTACGAAAGCGGATGGCGGTGAACAGCAGTTGCGAAATTTGGGGAAGGTACGTGAGTGCAATAGAAGTTTATTTATTCGGATTTAATTTAATTTCCTTGTATTTAATATATTGGTTGTCGTATATCACATACCTACTTAATTGTCATGTATTATTTACGTCAAGAGTTTTTATTGAGCACCATAATACAACACTACCCATTTTATCACTTGTTAAAATATCTATGTGCACATTACAATAATAAAACAGTTGCTGTTCAAATCGCTCACCCATTATTTCGTGGTTTTCACTTAGTTTAATGTACCCTACAGTGATGAAAATACCAGAGATCACAAAGTATGTGACAGGGAGTCTTATAAACCGATTTCATGGTGGGGAACGTAATTATTAAATTGAATTTTCAGTCAAACAATTAATATTCTTTGTACGTATTACACAATGAATTGACTCAATCATTTCAAATAAATAATACATTTTAATGCGCCCTAGTATGACATACCATATAACTGACTCGTAGGAGTACGATTTCAATTTCCATAGCTGATGCTCAATCGTTAGTTTAATTATTATTTCTCTACACATTTAAAAATCGTTCACTGACACATCTGTTTGTCTCGGCCAAAACAATTACAATCACCTGCAGTTAGTCATTCACAACAACCAAATTGTTGAGAAAAGAACTATTCCCCAATTTATACAATGATCATCTGCCCTTTCAAAGGCGTTTGTTGCAAACTCTCGATACTACTGTATATACTCATCGATAGTTCACAAGTTTAAACGTTTAATAATTTGAAGTGCCATCTGAAAAACCTTTCTCAAGAAGCAACTCGAACTACGTTACAAAACGTCTGTGATTCAGTTTTCCGCTCATCGGTTTATTGTATATATACTACCAGTTCATTGTTATTAATGTTCCCTATTTGCTTACTGTCATGTCAATAATATAATCGGTGAGACTTTGATTTATAGACGACCTTTGGGCGAAGCTAAACTGATCTTCAGAACGTCCACCTACAAACTAGGACTAAATGAGGGTTATAAACCAGTGTAAGGGACTAGAATTATGATTTTCAGTTGATGGTTAGGGTGAGGAATTAGATTTAGGGTTCTCATTAGCTAAAATGTCAAAACGCTATTTAACCGAATGGATGAGTGAATTTCATGCCAAAATCCAAGATGTGTTATCTTATATCTGATTGATTCGTCTATAAATTATAATCTCGCCATATCATCTCATTTTCTGTGTGAAATACCAAGGCGTGCAAATTCCGACAAAATCGAAACTTCAGTCATCTTCTTGATCATATTACTAAATCTTATTCTCCGTTCCGTTGCTCTTACGTTTGTATAATGTTTCGAAATGTTTGAATTATAGCACGAACTAAGAGTCCCAGAAATAACGCAATTAAATTAAGAAGTAAGACACAAGCACAAGCGGATGTATTGTATTTGGAATTCGAAATCGAGCATTCCACAAGTACAAAGGTATTATTAGTTCGTTCAAACACCACATCCGCCACAGCTTAAATAGAAGTATAAGTGTTTGTAATCGGTTGTACGTCTTCTTGTTAAGTTCATCCTGAGTCTGTCCGACATTGTATAAGATAAAAACTTTGTAGTATCTAGAAAGTGCTCATTAGTATTGGAATTAACAAACGAAATCGGAACAGACTCACCTGGAACTGTATACAACAAGCATGTCGGTTTTGTACTGAAATCATTAATATCTAGAATTCGAACCATAGATTTTTCAACATTATCTTCCCCCACGAAATAATGTTGGATCTTTATGTCCCAAGTTATGAATAATGTGGCTTCATTTAAAACATATTTCTCACATTGTTTAGAGTAAACATTAGAACTGTTTTTGTGATAAGGGTAAACAGCAGTTGATATGAAATCATCCGAAATGTAATCAAACTCGAGGTCACTTAGTACTCGTGCTTCGCATTGAGCAGGTTTTTCACAAGGATCAAATGCATTATGAGGATAGGTAATATATGATATGACATCAGGATTTGATTCTTATGAAATTCATTAGGACTGTCATTGCAGAGCGTAGGATCGTTAGAAAAATCAACATCTATCCAAACCACATCAGGTTTTCGATCACGATTAGGTTCATTTAACATATTTTCCTCAGAACTGCAAGTAATTTCATTAGAAATATGTGAATTATTAGGAAAAGTCATACCTGGTACAATAGCATGAGAATTCTGATAAATCGGTTGATTAGGAACTGTTGTCTCACAAGAATTCTGGTTTTCATTTAACTCTGAACTGCCATATGACTACACTGTCTTTTGAGATCGTTGATAAAGATGAATGATCATCATGAATACTCGACTCAGTAGAATCAGAATTACAAGACCTAATATTAGTTGCAGTAAAATGAACATTAGCATTACAAACTGACTGAACTTGTCCAATATCACGACATTTGAAGCACTTAGAATTACGAAATTGACATGAATTAGAAGAGTGGAACTTGCAACAGGACAAACACTGACCAAACTTGTCCCCATCCTCGTGAACTGCATCGCGACTCCTCAATGAATTGTCTGCATAACCTTGAGTATGCACTGGGTCAGGATGACGTAGTAATGTAGTGGTGTTTTTTATATCCTCATGAATCATTTTACGAGATCTTCCGCCTTTACCGCATTCGAAATTTGTATAATTAACATAGTCTAGCAGCAGTTCCTTGAGAGTTGTATAAGGAAGCGAGATAGGCTTTTCCGGCATAGTCAGAATTCCTAATAAGCTGTATGCTTCTCTCCCAATGAATGTGAGGAAGTGTGCCACAATATTAACATCCTCATCATCTTCCTTGGTCATAGCCCAGATTTCGAACCTTTCAAAGTAATCTTCAAAAGCTTCCGAAGTTGAATGAATATCTAACTTTTCCATTACAGGCTCCATCGCGACGCCAATATAATGCTTTGGATTATTTGAATTGTAGTATGAACTAAGAGTCCCAGAAATAACGCAATTAAATTAAGAAGTAAGACACAAGCACAAGCGGATGTATTGTATTTGGAATTCTAAATCGAGCATTCCACAAGTGCAAAGGTATTATTAGTTCGTTCAAACACCACAGTTTGTCACAGGCTTCCTAATTGTGTTCACCTTTCAATGAATAATATTGGTTTGAAAGCAGTTTCCTAAATATTTGAAGCTACACAAGAAGTAATTCACATATTTATAAAAGGTAGAAGAAATTCACATATATAGGTTTTCAATACCATCTGAATTTTTGTCATTATGAGACCGCTTTCTGTTTGCAATTAAGTTCAAAGAATAATTAATTGATGACAAGTTATTATTGATCTGGTTGGTCACATTTTCTCAAAATTACTTGATGAATAAAAAGGACATTAAACATGTTATTGAAAACATCTCGAATATTATTGCTTATTTTTAGAATTAGTCAATCTATACGTTGATTCTTATACATGCCCACAAATACATATAATTTTGCTCTGTATTATTGTGTTCATTGTTTAGGAGAAAATTAACTAGCATTACTGATATACAGCTAATGTTGTACTGCTTATAATAACTTTTAAACATCCACATTCGTATGAGAAATATCATCAATTATCCAAATAAAGGTACTTCAATGAAGATCTGTTGGACGATATCACTTACTAAAATTGTATAATCGTATTTATATTTATTTTACATGTAGTTTTTCATCTATTATCTTTATTTAATAATCCGTTTTATTCTAGTGCTTAATGGAGTATTGTTTTTTCTAACAATTATTTTGTTTTCTCATCTTTTTTAAAAAACCTCAGGTGGAATATGAGAAAAATGTTACAAAGTACGCTAGAATATTTGAACGTATACCTTATTGTAAAGTACACAATATTGATCGACCGAATGTGTTAAATATTGTTATGACTCTAGAACGTATAAAAATAAATTAGAACAATAATTATTACCAGTTTGTTCTTTTTTTAACCAGAATCATGGTATTTTCTGTTGAAAAGTCCATCATTTTCGGGATAATCAAAAACACTAGTGTGTTGTTTGTATGAACTAATGATTCTTTTTGTATTTATGTCTATCTAATTTTGAATTACAAATACGTTGCGTTCGATTATGCTTACCTAGTAATACCTAACTTAAATTGTGTTATTTCAAGGAGTTTATTATTTCACTCAAGAACGTGAAATCTTTAGATTCTGATGTGGTACGAAGTCCTTGGGAAGGCTCACATGTTGGTGATCAGAGATAAATTCAGATATATGTTGTACAGCAAGCAATTGTAAAAAAATGTCATCGGTTGAAAACTCAGGTTTTGAAGTGGACTCCATGGCTAGTATCGTCTGAGGCCTGGGAGAGAATTTATGCAGACTATTGTGGTCCGTTTCTTGGCAGATACTATGCACTTGTAGTCAGTGCTTCTTTTCCAAAGTGGCCTGAATTTTTTTCACAACTTCATCAAATTCTGATTTCACAATCCAAGCATTAAGAAAGGTGTTTGGTTTAAATTGAGCTTTTTCGAAGATTTATAGTTTGTACAATAATCTGAATACTCCTAGTTATCATACAATATCATTTACGGTCGTCAATAACTATGTAAAACTTCAGGTTCTTATTTTTGCTTAGTATTCTTTACGACAAAAGCATCTTTCAAAATATAAGAAACTATGGAGACGTGACAGGAACTGTTAATTATAAGTATTAATAAATTCATGATAATGTTTGTTATAACTTCATTGTGCTTGCATTTTCTGCTTAATTATATATTCAACTTATAAACTCATTTTTCTGCATCAAATGTTGTTCTTTCTTTACCTGTAGTGATGACTTATCAATAAACTTTTGCACAATTTTTGTTTATGTTTTTATCGTAGTTTTATGGGAAGGTTTATTCGATAATCTCAACAGGTGGCTATTTGTGACAATTAGAAATAACTATGTGTTTTGTTTACAAGTACCGGTTCCACTGTGAGAACTTATAAGTACTGAACCAGTTTAGAAGTTTCGCCAACTTGTTGCTTCGTATATATGACTTCACTGTAACAGTATATTCGGGTGAATAATTGCAAGATTTGTAGTCAGAAAGAATATGAACTTTCACCAAGCCTTTACGGGATCTGAGACGCTACGAACTCATCGCTTGTAGCGTTCTTTTGCAAAATAATCCGAAGATTGCATGTAGTTGTTATATTTATATTTAAATATTCATTACATGGACAAACGTTCGTTCACATAATTTTCCATATCCAGAAATCTAATAAGTTGTTCACTAGTATAGACTTGTATATTGGAAAGGTTTCAGATTAGAGATTGATTGACAGAAGCCATAAGTTGCACATCAGAAAACATATAGATAGATTCTTAGCCTAATCAACGCTACTCTGAAAAATAACAAGTCAATCATGAAAAAAAGCGATCAAACTTTGTTATGAGTGGTCAATTCAATACGTAAATGAAATAGCATCTGACTGAATGTGGTCGTAAGTATTTTATATGTTTGAACAACGGCCTTCATTCTTCAACGTTTCTACACTTTTACTTAGTCGTTTAGTCTCTGAGAATGAATAGTAAACACAATATAAACTGATTCACTAACTTCGACTATTACTATGAAATCTGTGGAACACGACTGGTTTAATAAAAACAATTATTATTATAACCAACTGTACCAATGTTTGTTTTAATGTGCTTTTGTTTGACTGTGCTAATGAAAGCTATATTGTGCTTTCATTCTTATACTCACACTTTTGATTGTGACTTCGCGAATTCGTGGCACGGACTGGCGGGTAAGCCACGGGTTTTCGCGCACACGTTACATATTGTCGTAGAAATTTGTGTCGTTATTTATCAGCTATTAACAGGCTTTTTTCCATCACACATCAATTTCTGTATTGCTAGTGCTTGTAACATAGTTTTTATTCCAATTTATTAGCAGTTTGACGTATTTCTTGCTCACCACGTAAGTAAATCTGTAGTTAGCTTAATAAAGTTACGTTCTGTAACCAAGATTGTATCCTTGCACGATCTCGGTATCCTTTCAATGCCATGAGATCGCCAGCAAATATATCTTGATTTGGTCCATCAACTGCCTTCTAATATTTGGCTTCTCGGGGATTTTATGGATTTATTTGGTTACGTTCAACCCTCGCCTTCTGATTTATTTGGCACGTGTTTCTTTGTAGCGGTGTTCACAGTTAATCTCAACTCGATGCCACGCTACAAGGAAATTGTTACTTGAAAGTTCCAGGCCACTATCTGATAATGACAACCGTAGTCGTCTGTTGTATATTCCCGATGTGATTACGACAGTTCGCTACCTTGTTGGCACTGGCGCAGAAGTTATTGTTTTTCCAGCAAATTCTAACGATCGACTATACGAAGCAGTTTTCAACTTACGGGCGGTAAACGGTAAACCGGTCGCCACCTATAGTAAGCGATTTTTGTACCATAACATAGACTTACGCAAACACATTCACTGGATCTTCGTTGCTGCACATGTTTCTATGCTAATCATTGGTATAAACCTGCTACAACATCATAAACTACTTCTCGACAAGCGCAAACGGAGGTTGCTAGACGGAATTAGTAGTCTATCTGTGTAACTTCTTTTTTGGGTTGTGGATTATCCCCAGTCATAGTAAGGCAGACGATCGATCCGTACTACCAACAAATACTCGAAAAGTACCCTGAGATATACCAAACACAACCGGAATCGCCATGTGTGGACAGCAATATTACACACCACGTCACGACCACAGTACCACTTGTATTCTCGAAAGCGCGCCGACTAGCACCCGAAAATATGAGGTTGGTTATGAACGGATTGGAACATATGATAGATTTAAGAATCATTCGGTGATGGAAGCCATTTCCTTCAGATGTAATTTTAAGCTATTCTCTAGACTACAAGCAAAGATAACGTCCAGCTGTGGAATCCAGGGTGACCGTTTTGTCCTAATTGGGACTCGTCTGCTGGACGTACCGGCATCCTATATTTGATGTTCAGTCTGTGACTTGAACCCAGTACCGTTCGCTTCAAAGGCCATCTCTTTATTCAATCAACTACTAAGTTCTGATAGCTACTTGTTAGGGAGATAGTGTTGTTTATTTAAATCTTCGGCACTTTGAACACATCATAGAAGGCCGAGAATTCATTATTTTCACCGGTTACAAACACCTCTCCTTCTCTTTGAGTTCAGCTTCAGACAACTAGACTACGTTTCTCAGCTCACTTTGGTCATACAACACATTTCTGCCCTAAAGAATGTAGCGGCAGACGCTTTGTTTCGTATGACTTCATTAAAAAGTTTCCAATGAATCGATCTTCCTAAATTCATTCAGCACAAAAAAAAGGAGACAACGTTTTACAGCACGAGTTAATTTCAACAACTTTGAAACTGCCTATTAAATAAATGTGGACAGTTAATCTAACCTTATTATGCGACACACCTACAGGTAGGGATCGTTCGGTCGTCTCCAAACATTATTGGCGCAAAATCTTCAATACGTTGCACAAACATTCTCATCCAGGTATTCGTGCAACCATCAAGCTCATAGCAGGACGATTTTGCTGGCCTAGTATGAATAAAAATGTGAGAGAATGGGCATGTAGAACTATGGTCTACTATGATATTAGTACTGATCGAACAATAAACCTAATCCTAAAATTGTAGATTTATCATGATATAACTGCTTATTCTATAAGATCTTACGTGGAAGTTACATCATCGTCTACACGAACTCATTGAATCATAACAATTGCCAATACATGATGGAGAACAAGCTTAGGCTAGAGATAGGACAGTATACTTATTATGGTTAAAAGAGATAAGATAACATGGGCCACGCCTGCATGTCCGAGCCATGCGATTCGATCAACACCAATTCATTCAACTAATTCTTCCCGCCTTGTCCATCGTTAGGTATTTCTCCGAGTTAAATATTGAATATCTATCTTCCGAGTAATCTCGTATTTAGCTTTGAGGATTGTGTGGTTATGGTCCAATGCCACTACAGCCACAATCCTGTGTAAGCTGATAGAAATCCAAGGCGATTGGACACAACAAATGTCCTTTAGGCTCTCCCACAACTGCAGATGCTTTTTTCGACGATTTTCATCTGGATTTAGTAGGACCTGTGCCAGATGCAAATGGATACTCCTATATCTTCACTTGCGTAGACCGTTTCACTCGATGGCCAGAAGCAGTACCCATAAAGAATATTATTATTATTATTATTATTATTATTATTATTAGCTTTATTCAATATTATAATTTTGGTACAATATAGAATTCTCAGCGCAAAGTATTTCAACAAGTTTCCGTTTCTTTCTTCTTGGTCGGTCCTGGCGATAAATATTGAGGAATCGCCAGTTAGATGTTAGCACTTCAGTGAATGAACAACTGAATAACGTACATTCTTTTCGTTGTACATTGCCAGCAACCATATTGTCTCTTATTGAGTTTTCTGTAACTTTGACAACGAAAGGTTGTACACTTTTCAGAAACGCAGCAGAATAGGTTATGCGATTAATAAACATAATGATATATTAAAACAAACAACAATAGATAACTTGTTGAAATATCTAGATGGCAGGAACAGGTAGCCCAGATGCTCAAGCAGGCCGCCCTGAAATAATGGCCAACGCACTCATCAAACGATGGGTAGCGAATTTCGACTGCCGTCAAATATCGCTCAATCAGTGGACGTCAATTGAAATCTGAACTTTTCCGATTTCTGGTTACACTATTAGGAGTCGTGCGACTCCGATCGACCATCTACCGCCCACAAGCAAACGGGTTTGTTGAACGCTTTCAACGACAGCTCAAAGCTTCACTCTCAGCTGCAAACGGTTCACAGTGAACCGACGCTT